CAAAAAGAAAAAGAAATATAAAACTAGAAGAGAGATTGCATGAAAAAATAATTAATTATAAAGTAATTAATGTTTATTAGTTAACCTTTAGTTAGTCTATGTAAAGTTAATCAAGCCAAGTTCAAGCTCTAGCTTGTATAAGGTTAACAGAGTCAAGATTGAGCTCAGCATTGTATTGACTTGTATTGGTTCAATTAAACACATATTTACTAGTGTGTCAAGTGTAGATCGCCAGCCCCCTCCATAACCTGAAAATAGTATTTTATTCTTCCCATTCGTGCAAGTTTGCAACTACAACTTTGCAGTACCATTTCCTGCTTGTTAACATATTTTTTCTTTTGTAACTCAAACAGATGCAGGCCTTGTTTAGAATTGGGAAGGGTGAACCACCACCTGTTCCTAATACTCTGTCAAACGATGCACGAGATTTTATCCTGAAATGCCTACAAGTCAATCCAAATAACCGCCCAACAGCTGCTGAGCTCTTACACCATTCATTTGTGAGGAGGTCACTTTCGACATCCTTAGGCTCAGCTTCTCCTTATCATGGTAGACAGAATTGAGAGTTTCTTTCCATAAAAAAATTGACTGCAAAAGTAACAGGTAAAACCTAAAAGTCATTCCTATATTTTATGTTCCAGAATTTCATGTTGCCCCTCATTCCATGCTTGGAAAAGAATAGTGAAAGATGCAGATATAAACAATGCTGTTGTTTGCAAGTGACATTTATTTGAGGGATCTCTTATTTTCTTGGCAATGAGATAGGAGATAGTTAAGATGCCTGAAAGCACATCTGAATTTGGTGAATGATATGTATCTAATGTGCATGTGTTGATACATGGATTGAATTGACCTTCTTAAGATTTAGCATGGAGCCTTGTTTTTATAAGATTTCATTTCATGTTATTTCTTATTGGTGCAGATCCATTTGTGGTTGTAACAAGCTATGTATTCGATGAAGAAAGGAAGACAAAACTGTCTTGTTGCATTGTCTAGATAGACCTTTTCTTCTTCAGCTTCAACTTTCAAGAGCCCGCATATTGGTATTTGATTAAATCTACCTAAAGTTAAGGTTGCTAAGGACAGGACGAGGATGCATATGTTGGTGCAGAATTCTGCACCAGAGTGCTAGATGCTCTCAATTTGGTTGTTTTTATGTAATGCCAGTTTGCTAGTGTTACACTTTCTTTTCTTTTCTTTT